CGGGAGGGATTTGAGGGTGACAGTACGACTAGGCTTACTGTTTTCTGTATCTATTATTATATAATCACTATGAAGTTGCTTTTCCGTTATCAGTTGCTTATCACTTTTAGATTCAACGTGTGGTTTTAATCTATCGTTGACTGTATCTCATTGTTCATTTTAATTACAAAATATTTGTTAGTTCTACGTAACACTTGGAAGGGATCGATATAAGGGGCTTCCAAAGGCTTGCGAACTCTGTCCTCTCTTAAACATATAATTTTAAATGTCTTAAGCTTGTCAAGGAGGAATTGACATGATTTGTTTACAGAGCTATAATCTTTATTTAAATGTAAGTAATGTAAGATACGTTGTAACTCCTTAGCAAACTTCTGATTATCTATGTTATCGTTTGTATTATCTACTATCAAAATGAGGAATCATTATATGCCGTCCAGTAACTGTAAAGAAGGGTGAAGTATTGGAAGAATTAAGTGTGGCACGGATACCTGTTAGTATTATTGGAAGGACGTCCAGTCATGGTTCCTTTCTAGCTATTAATGCTGTTTTAATTATTCTATGTTCACGTTCAATCGTTCCGTTTGTTAGCGGGTGATAACTAGTCGCGTGCAATGAAGCTGACTATTGAGGCTATGTCTGAAAATAATTCGCTCTCAAACTGAGTACCACTATCGGTTATAACATGAAGAGGAATACACTAACGTGTGATCCACGCGTGGGACGAATATATTGGCCACAGATCTCGTGCTTTTATATATGATAAGAGTTCTGCTTTGATCCACTTAGTTGTGCGGTCAATACAGATTAACACGTATCTGTAGGTAGTATTGTATGTTTCATAACGTCTTCTCGTAACAGGAAGTGAACCAAATATATTCAAATGAACCGTATTAAAGCGAAAAGTAGACAGTTCAATAGAATGAATAGCAGATTTAGCATGTGTCTGAATTTTGCTTTTTCATTACACATTTTTTTATTGACTTGTCCAGATGAAGCCAAAAAATCTTATTTTGATAAGTTTACACGAAATTCTAATTACTGAGTGTGATATTGCGTGAATGCTATCGAAAATAGATTTTCGTAATTCCCCAGGTATATATAGTCTGGGAACGTCAGTAGCATTATCGCAGTATATCGAACTATTATTATCAGTACTAAAATTGTATTTTTTTTAAGTTTGGAAATTTTTGCAACTCAGGATCCTGAAGTTGTGCAGCAACTATAGCTGGCAAGTCACATAGATCTATCATAACTGCTAGGGTAGGTCTAGACAAGCAATCAGCTATAACGTTTTGATCTCCCTTTATGTGGCCTATATCTGATATATATTCTGTAAGAATTGCTAATTTCCGCTGCGGTCTGACTTAACAGGGTTTAGGCTACGGAATATGTCGCACAAAGGTTTATGGTCAACTAATAGTAAAAGTTGTTTTCATTCGATAATATGTTTAAAATATAACGTAGCTGAATAGGCTGCAAAAAGTTCCTTATTGAAAGTCGAATATCTTGTTTGAGTTTGAGTTAACTTTTTAGAGAAGAAGCCTACTGGAATTGATGCTGCCATTACTATTTGATATAGGGCTGTACCAATTGCATAATTACTGCTATTAGTAACCAACTGATATTCAGTACAGTCACAACGTTGGTGAGCTAAAAACAGAAATTTACTGATTCTGCTTTAAATATCGTTAAACGGTTGAAATTCCAAGTCATTTTATGTAAATTTAGTATTACTGCATATACGTATTTTTTATGTTAATGACATGACGTTGTCTGTAAAGTTTGGGATTAATTTTCTATAAAAATTTACTATGCTTAAGAAGCGACGAAGATTCTTACTGTCCTTAGGAGGGAGAATATTCTGTAATGCACTAACATTATTTTGTGTAGGACTAATATCGTCAGAGCTAATATTATAACCCCAAAAATCGACTGAAGTCATATTGACTTTGTTATTGTAATTGGAAGATTATTATGTAGGATTTTTATAACGGATTCCACGTCTTTTATGTGTGCTGAAGAATCGTCGTAGAAAATAAGAATATCGACAATGAATGTAAATACAGAGTCAACATGTTGAAATGTCTTGTCCATATATCTTTGAAAAGGGGATGCTGCATTCTTTAGTCCAAACGGCATGTATTTGTATTCATGCAATCCGAAAAGAGAAATAAGTGTTATTTTTTATATCATTCTAGTGCGTTTTGATTTGATGGTATGATGATGTAAGGTTGATTTTGCTAAATCTATTTTGTTGGCTACTTTATCAGCAATTAAATTAATATTCTGAGTGAAGTATTTACCACTTTTTGTAATGTTGTTTGTAATGCGTGGTAATCATCGCAGTATCTGAAATTGCCATCCGGTTTTTTACAACATGTCGGAAGCAAGTCCATTCACTATCGGAAGGTGTAATGATGCTATCCTTCTGCTATTTTGAAAATTCCCTCTTTACTACCTGGTTTTTCTCTTCTGATAGACGTTTATCCCTGGCAAAAGTAAGAGCTTGACTGCCTGTATCAATTCTATGGTATACTCCTGCATATGTGCTTTCTGGGTTGGCATGTGGAGATATAATATTGAGATATATTTTTATAAAACCCTTAATGAAATTAAGCATATTATTATTCATGGCTAAGTTGATAGAGTCGTTAAATGTACGTAATTTCTTTGAACTCGATCTTGTGAGATCAATGATCGTTCTCTATTGGCAATCTATCAATGAACGAAATTGTTTAGGAAATCGAATCCTAGTAGTGGGTGTTGAATGTCCGCTACCACAAACGTTCACAGAAAATCTCATCATTAGGAATATCTCGGCTTTAATTTGGGTATGCCTGAACCTGTAGCCGTGGTTAGAGAAACTAGTGTTGGGTCCGTTGATAAACTGTTGTCATAGTTATGTGGATTGATAGATAACCTGGCACCGGTATCTGTTATGAATGAAAATTTTTTGTCCCCCAAAATTGCTGGTATATATAACAATGATAGACTCGGAGGATGTCGTCGTCCGGCAAATAAATTTCCCGCTTCGTTGGCGCTGGTGAAGATGGACGCGAACTTAGCTGTTGGATGAAGTTTCTGTTTTTGTATGGCCACTTGCATAAATTTGTGATCTACATCTTTTTTCTAATTTTCCCTTTTGGAAAGATTTGGCATCGTAAGGTATTGATGAGGTTTTAGTTGCTATTTCTTTCGTCTGAATTTAGTTACACGTGTTTATTTTAGCAGTGCCTTGTTTAAAAAGGCATTAATTCGTCGGCCAATTGTCCAAGCCTGATCGGGTTTAAATCTTTTTGTGTTGCTAACACAAGGGCAATGGAAGATGGTAATGCTTGTAAAAATTTATATAACGCTATGTCGTTGCCTATGACCAATCGTTTTGCAATCGATAACATTTCCTGAATGTAAATTGATGGTCGACCAGTGGTGGTGGGCATTAATTTATCTATCAGTTCTGTCTTTGTTTGTTCGTGCGTTTCAATTAAAGGCTTTTTAATTCATCGTAATTGTGAGTATCCAAAATGTTCCTCGTTATTTTCGCTACTATTTTCGGAGGTAGAGACGCAATAACATTATAAAATTTAGTGATTTTTGAAGTTACGTTTCTCAAATGGAAATGAGATTCAATAATTGTGAACCAACTGGTAATGTTAGTTTGTATGAATTCAGTGATTTTTATTGTTATTTGTTGGACAGTCGGTTCGTGGTGTTCTTGCACCATTTTGTTTATTTTTATTATTATTATTTTTGTATTATGTTGTAAATGCTGCTTGAGTTTATGCGTTGAGGTCATCAAATGTAATTGCGTGTTCTAAAAGTATGCATCTACTATAAATTTAACGATTCAAGATAAAAAAAAAACAACGAGACTCCAATTGTGCATCAACAATAAAATATATATATTAAAACAACAAGTACAAAACAATTGTGCAATGATGTGAGAATTAAGGAAGACAAAGTTGCTTCCCTTTAACTGTATCCTGAATAAGATAAAATGTTTTTTTAAGAATGTTTCTTGTATAAGAACGTTCAATGTTCTATGTTGAAAATAGAATGTCTGATGAAGAAAGGAATACAGTCAATTTAGATATGTGTTGTTTGTGTAATTAACAGAGTGCTGGTTTGTAAACTTGGCTTAGTCACAGAAGAAGAATAGTGTAATGTGATACAAATATGTGTGTGCGTTGTGAGTAGAATCGTGGAGCTAAGTTTTAAGACAAGTGATGACCGTCCTTTTCCCCCAAACCCCTTTTGGCCTTGTGCCACATTTGTTGTATTTGCGACAATAAATATTGTAGAATCGTGGATCTGTGTAGACAAGTTGCTGGACTCTACTGTCTATTTTGGAACAAACTACTGTTTATATAACTGCTGGTAGACTCCAGGCAACAACGCGGGAAAGTTGAATTAACACAAAAATGTATGATTGGCTAAAATTCGACTAATCACTGATTTTCTAACAAAAACATATTTAAGCAAATTCATGGCAGAAAAATTCAAGGTGGTGACTACGATTACTAAATAGTCCTGTTGTAAAACAATATCTATTTATTAACCTGTGTGATCTTCCACAACAAACCGGCTTTACCTCTTTTTAGGAAATGCACTCTTCCTATCTGGTAAGTAACAGCCTACTTCCATACATTATAACAAGTATTCATTGGTCAATCACCTCCAATCTTGCTTGCTGATTGGTCAGTTCCGACTAATCAAACCGCCTCCACGCGACCAATCTGTTTTTCCCGCGTTCTCCGTTTGAGCCTGTGCTGTTTCTTATTTTTCCACACACACATACACACAATAAAAATTAATTCACACCACGTGTATCAAAAAATACAATTGCGCGGGAATTCATTCCTTACCATGCCCTGTGGGGTCAAAAACAAGGACGGCGCACCCAAAAGTTCGGACATACTGAAAAGCACACCACGTGGTCAAAAATATGATTTATTGACCAATCAGGACTCGACATAAGAAACCCATTTCTTAATCTCCAGGGAGCCTCATCATTCTTATATAAGGAAGGTAGAAACTCTCATCAGAAGGGAGAGAGAACAGCGACAAGCTGACATCAAAGCGACACGGACAGTTTCGAGCACACACACACCGAGAGGATTCAGCGGTTCACACAACAGGCAGTATCACGTATCAGTGAACATTCTTTCACCCTCTCTTTCTCTCATCTCGCTCGCTACACATAGTCCTACCTTTCCCTCTCACATTCCCAGTTCCTTTCTTTTCTTTTTTCTTCCGCAGCTTTACGGACAATTTCATTTTGTACAAGGAAAAAAATAATTCTTTACAAAAATAAACAAAAGTTTATTTTACTTTGTTTGTAGTGTATTTTTTTCTTTTTATTATTTGTTTGAGGGACTCCTTTGCACCCTCTACAAACTGGTGACGGACGTGAGACACTACATTTAAAAAACAAACAAAACGAAGAGGAAGGACACAATGGAATCACAATCTTCGAAACCCCTCTCGCCACACTATCGTTGAATATCCCGGCTTTCAACACGACTAACACTAAGTCCTGGTTCGTTCAAATCCAGGCATTATTTGATGCGAAGCGAATCACCTCCCAGAGAACCCGGTATTGTTACTTAGTGGAAAAACTGCCAGCAGACATCGTCGAGGAAGTAATGGATTTACTGGAAAATGTCCCGGATGACAACCCGTACGATAGACTCAAGGAAGCAATTTTAAAACGGACCGGTGCCTCGAACGAAGCCATGCTACGCAACCTTTTCACTCAGGTTGAATTAGGAGACCGCACCCCATCGCAGTTATTGAGGCACATGCGAACCTTACTGGGTGACAACAAAATGTCCGAGAACATTATGCGGAGCTTATGGCTGGACAAGTTACCCACTACAACAACACAAATCCTCGCACCCATGACAGAGGAAACGCAGACAGAAAAACTCGTGGACATTGCAGATCGGATCCATGAAAGTTTTCGAAGCCGCAGGGTAAACTCTATCCAGCCACAACCAGCCCAACAAAGAGACAGGGAATTTAACGACCTCAAGTCTACTGTAGAAAGGTTGTCTATACAATTACAAGGCTTACTGCAAAAAGACCGACAGTACCGCCGCGATAAATGTCCAGGATACAGAAAGCGAAGTTTCAGCAGAGGACGGACTGACAACCGCAATCGAAAAGATGAAATTTGTTACTACCACAAAAAGTTTGGTCCTGAGGCGAGACGTTGTACACATCCTTGTTCTTTCAACAACGCGAATGCGGGAAACGGAAATTCCAGCCAGTAGAGACGACGGCTGTTGCTGGATTTTTAACAAAAGGTCGTCTGTTTTATATCTGCGACAAAATTAATGGATATAACTTTTTAATAGACACCGGAGCTGAAATAAGCGTGATACCACCAACACAAAATCAGGAGACTATGCCACAGTCTTATCATCTTCAAGCAGCTAACGGTACCAAAATACCAACTTACGGGAGAAATCGCTCAATATCAATCTCGGCATGCGACGGAATTTTTCTGGAATTTTACCATAGCCAGTGTAACAACGCCTATATTTGGGGGCAGATTTTTAGCCAGATTCAACCTGTCTGTCGACATGACTAATCGCACACTGGTGGATAATCAAACCAAGATTTCAGTAAGAGGACTCACCTCGAAATACCAGTCTACTGGAATCAGTTCTGCCTTACCTGAGGACCAGTACATCCGTCAGCTACTAAAAAAAAATATCCACAACTCTCCCAGCCATTTAAAAACACAGACACCATAAAACATAATGCCAAGCACCACATCAAGACAACTGGACAACCTGTCTATGCCACTCCCAGACGATTGAAACCGGACAAGTATAAGATTGCGAAAAACGAGTTTCAACATTTATTACAGCAAGGGATCATCCGACCCTCGAAAAGTGCTTGGTCTTCACCGCTACACATGGTGCAAAAAAAGTCCGACGCTACAACATGGCGTCCTTGTGGCGATTTTAGAAGATTAAATGCTAAAACGGTCCCGGATAGATACTCTATTCCACATATCCACGATTTCGCCATCGGTCTGCAAGGCGCCACCATATTTTTCAAATTGGATCTTGTAAAGGCGTACTACCAAGTTCCAGTGGCAGAAGAGGACATTCATAAAACTGCACTGACCACACCATTTGGCCTTTACGAGTTCGTAAGGGTGCCTTTCGGGCTTAGGAACGCCTGTCAAACCTTCCAGAGGTTAATAGACGAAGTTTTTAGAGGTCTGCCATTTATATTTGCATATGTGGATGACGTTTTAATCGCCAGCAGAAACCTCGACGAGCACAGACAGCACTTAGAGCAAACATTTGAAAGAATATCACATTACGGTCTGAAAATAAATACAGAGAAATGCATTTTCAGCCAACCAAAGGTTAATTTCCTCGGACACTTAATTGACAAGGACGGAATATCTCCACTACCCGAGAAAGTAAGTGCAATTTCAAATTTCCCACAACCAACATCAGTCAGACAAGTACGCAGATTCATAGGCGTGATTAACTATTACAGACGATTTTTACCTAACTGTTCTACATTACTTGCACCGTTAACAGATTTGTTACAAAAAACAAAAAAAAGAACCAACAGTTAAAGTTAGAAGGGCCTAGCCTAGAAGCCTTCAAACAAGCTAAAACTGCTTTGGCCAACTTTACAAAACTAAACTACGTAACGGACAGTGAGGACACAAAACTCACGCTTACAACAGATGCATCTGAAATAGCTGTAGGAGCAGTCATACACCAAATTTCTAACAACACAATGACGCCTATATTTTTTCTGCTAAGCTAAGCAAGAAACAGACGAAATACAGCACCTTTTCAAGGGAGCTTCTAGCAATTTACCTTGCAATTAAACATTTTAAACATTTGCTGGAAGGAAGAAATTTTTGCATTTATACAGATCACAAACCATTAACATATGCACTACATACATGTAGATAAATATGGTCCACGAGAAATCAGACATCTCGATTATATCGCCCAGTTCTCCACAGACATCCGATATATTAAGGGGCAAGAGAACATTATAACAGACGCATTATCTCGATCTACAATAGCCTCTTTAAATTCCAGATCTTTAAGTATGGAATTGATCGCACAAGAGCAGAAAACAGATGAAACACTTCCAGTTGTACAACAAAAAACATCCTTACAACTGAAAGAAATGCCGATACCATTTGGTACAACAAAATTTTATTGTGATGTATCACAAACACATCCGCGTCCATATATACCACCGAACATCAGACGACTAGTTTTTCAACATTTTCACAATTTATCTCATCCAAGAAAAAGAGCCACTGTAAAATTAATAGCAGAACGCTTTGTTTGGCCCAATATAAACACGGACATTCGCAATTGGACTAAAACTTGTATACCTTGCCAAAAGAATAAAATCCACAGACACACGAAATCACCACTTGGCACTTTTAGCATACCTGATGCTCGATTCACCAACATTCATATCGACTTAGTAGGACCTTTACCCACCTCAAAAGGACATAGACATATTCTTACTATAGTTGACAGATTTAGCAGATGGCCTACAGCCATAGCAGTCAAAGACACTTCAGCTGCAACAATAGCCAGAGTTATACTGCAGGACTGGATAGCAATTTTTGGAGTACATTCAGTAGTAACAACAGATAGAGGTTCACAATTCCAATCAACACTTTTTGCTGAAATTTACCCAATTGTTAGGAACGAATCACATCAAAACAACCGCCTATAACCCTTGTGCAAATGGGATGGTTGAAAGATTCCACAGACAGTTAAAAGCTTCTCTAGCTATGAATTTAAATAATGCGGACTGGACAGACAATTTACCGCTAATTCTTTTAGCGATAAGAAACACGGTGAAAGAAGATTTGCAAAGCACACCTGCAGAGGTAGTTTTCGGATCAGCATTAACATTACCTGGACAGTATTTTAATCACAAGACAGACATTTCACCTACAACAACGTTTGTAACAGAATTAAAACATAAAATATCTCTTCTCAACTTTGCACCAACCAGGAAAACAGAGAAACAAACTTACATCCCAAACGATCTTCACACCTGCAAATATATATTTATCAGAAATGACGCAGTTAAAAAAAACACTCTGTCCAAATTATTCAGGACCATATCAAGTTCTGGACAGGCATGAAAAATATTTTACTGTTATGAGAAAAGAAAAGAAAGATAATATCGCTATTGATCGCATCAAACCAGCGTACATCGACGAACAACCTCATACAATATCTCCACAAACACATATTCACACAGAAAATGAGGAAGTTAAAAAACAAAATACTGACATCACACCTACAACGAAAACCGGCAGAAAAGTCCACTGGCCTAAACATTTTAAAGAATATATCACATATTGAAAAACATATGTATCTTTCATATATTTTCCAATCTGGTGGGGAGTATTGTGCTGTTTCTTATTTTTCCACACACACATACACACAATGAAAATTAATTCACACCACGTGTATCAAAAAATACAATTGCGCGGGAATTCATTCCTTACCATGCCCTGTGGGGTCAAAAACAAGGACGGCGCACCCAAAAGTTCGGACATACTGAAAAGCACACCACGTGGTCAAAAATATGATTTATTGACCAATCAGGACTCGACATAAGAAACCCATTTCTTAATCTCCCGGAGCCTCATCATTCTTATATAAGGAAGGTAGAAACTCTCATCAGAAGGGAGAGAACAGCGACAAGCTGACATCAAAGCGACACGGACAGTTTCGAGCACACACACACCGAGAGGATTCAGCGGTTCACACAACAGGCAGTATCACGTATCAGTGAACATTCTTTCACCCTCTCTTTCTCTCATCTCGCTCGCTACACATAGTCCTACCTTTCCCTCTCACATTCCCAGTTCCTTTCTTTCTCTTTTTCTTCCGCAGCTTTACGGACAATTTCATTTTGTACAAGGGAAAAAATAATTCTTTAAAAAATAAACAAAAGTTTATTTTACTTTATTTGTAGTGTATTTTCTTTTTATTATTTGTTTGAGGGACTCCTTTGCACCCTCTACAAGCCTCACACGTGGTACACGACCATTATATAAACCCAACACGTGTAAACTTCCTCGAGTTTTTCTTTTCATTCGTCTCTCTCGCACGTCTCATTCCTTGCTACCAAGTGCCAAGATGTAACCTTCAGGAACTCCCGTCTTAAGTCATTGCTGACCAGACGTTAAAGACAATTACCAATATTCACGAACTCTGAAATCACTTCTGAACTTTTACCTCACAATTCAAAACTTTCTTGAAATGAACTCTGGTACAACTAATACCTAATCAAAGGGACACGACTCTGTCCTACCTTTTCAGTTCGCATGCATGTACATTAAACATTTAATAAATCTAATTGTTATGTTTTGGAATCATTCAGTTCAGTTTTGTATTTTATTCTATGTGCTATTTAACTCAAGTATAAATTGCATTGCATCCACGCATTGTCCTTAATCCCATCTTTCTTAGCCAAAGTTAAATATTGGTAACTCTATCTATCAACATATATTGATGACCGCGACGTTCGTCGTTCACAACAACAATGGTAATACAGCCATCACACATTGGTGATTCCGTCGGGAACAAATGGTACCCTATCGCTACAAACCAATCACAGATGAGTAAATTGTAGGCGTGGTAAGCGTAACAGTCGCTACAATGTGTGTAATATATATATATATATATATATATATATATATATATATATATATATAGAGAGAGAGAGAGAGAGAGAGAGAGAGAGAAAGAGAAAGAGAGTAATTTACCAAATCTGTTGTCTTTATTTTTCTTTTGCGTCAGATTATCAAAAAGTTTTGTTTTCTTTTTTATGTCGTGGTCACCAAATATGTTGGGCGGAAATATGTAGCACAAACCTCGTTTAAGGGGTATTGATTTTCTAAGCGTTGCTTAGATGTGGCACAAGGCCGAAAGTATGGGGCACCCAATGAGGACCGAACTCACTATTCTGTTGTAACAGTTTTTAGCGAGACAAGCTTGCTAACCATTACACCACACCGGGTGTATGAAACATGCGACAACATAAATATATGAAAAATTCAAACAAAACAGAAATGTCTTCATAAAAGCACTTATTCGAAATTCTTACAAGGTTTGCAGGTATCTCCTTGCAAAAAACTAGTTAACAAAATCTAAAACAATATAAGTTTTTTGTAGTTATCAGTTGTCACGAGTCTGAAATTGTGCATCCCATTACTTAATGTCAAGGAGCAAAAAGAAGATTG